TCCCGTAAGCTCTTAATTTTAAGAGTCTCCTCTTCTTCCTTCACATTTTATTTTGAGTATCTATGTAAAGGAAACATATCAAGCAAAGTGAAACTAAAACAGAGGGTTCCTTTGTCCCTTTGAATGTTAAAGAACAAGTTTTCCCTCTTCACTAGCATTAGGTTTATTATGAATGGTAATAAACACTGTACGGATACAGATCTTGAATTTTTCTGGAGTGTAGGTTACTGAGCAAGGAGACAACTCACAGCAAAATGTTTACATTTGAAGCGTGGATTTAAATATGCCAAAGTACTACTGCATTTGGACAACCTCCTAAATAGCAGAAACAAGTGCTGATAGGGCTGCAGAAATTACTTTCCTTCCTCTAGGGGAACCCTCCCCCCCCCCACAGGGGAACTATGCTGTGCTTTTAAATCTAATGTGCAATACAGATATACTTATTACCATAGAATGGAACTAAGGCCTCAGAATGTCCCAGAGAAGAATATTAAATCAACTTTATTGTATCTAAGCATCACCAAACCTGTGGTGACCAAGTTTAGGAGTTGGAAGAAACTTGAATCTAATATTGCTTCAGTCTGCTCCATGCATTCTCTAGGATATGTGCACCACAGGAAAAACAAGGCAGTGGAGAAGGAATCTCAGTACTGAAATGAGTCCTTCGGGACCATAGTTTAGACCAGCTATTGACCAGCTCTTAAACATGCACTGCATTTACTGATGATATGCCATTAGATCAAAATACCAAATTATTTCATTATGATGTGAAGCCCACAGCAATCTGAATAAATAAACAGCTTCACCCATCCTGTTTCCTACATAAAAGTTAGCTAGGGGAGATAGGGCAATGGAAAACTCAATCGAGTTAAAAGGTGAGAGAAATCTCTTCCACTGTCCATTTTATGCAGGATTTTTGACATGAAAATAAATCTGGTGAACCTCTCACTCACACTAGCATAAATCTGGAGTAAAACTGGGGTGGGATGAAAACCAGGCCTTGTTTGTACAGTGTTCTATCCGAGAACTTGCTTATCACATGGACATAATGTTCAAAGACACAACTCAACTAACACTGGTTTGTCATTCAAATGAAATGAAAGGTATTTGGACTGTGTTTAGTAGAATGCCATGACAATTCACAATAAACGTGGTACAGCAAATATGTTGTGATAGTTAAATGTATATAATTTGGACCTAAAACTAAAATCCTGACACTTGTGGATGCATGTGAATAGAAGATCCATGGCTCTTTTCACTAGGATGGTGGTGATAAAATCTGATGTCCTAAAATAAAAAACCCTTAGTTGGTTAACAGTCGTCCGTCCACCTAAATTCCCTCTGTGTTGTGCCAGTGTGCTATAACTGAGTGACCACAAGCCAGAGACTCTGAGCTCTAGTGTTGCCTTTACCACTGTCTTGCTTTGTGACAGTAAATCCAAACCCTGTCTTGCATTTGCCTTCAAACCCAAACCCCGAACCTTAGCCCAAACTCAATCCAGATTCTATTTCGAATGTTGCCCCCAGCCTCTCTGATTAGCATTGCTGTAGTTTGTGTTGGATACAGGCTTTGTGTTAAACTGCTATGTAGTGACTCTTATCGGCTCCATACTCCCCTTCCTTCTGCACCGTGGAGGGGAGCAAAAGAGAAAAGGTCTGCTCAGATCAGAACAAAAGAGTGGAAAGGTATTGAGTGGTGACCACACCATCCACTCCCCCTTAGAAGCTAACAGAACACTTCCAAGTGGACAATGCTCAGCTGGGATCTGTGGTGAGGCATGTAGGAGCAGAGAGGGGGTGCAGCTGGGGAGCAGCCAGTCTACACAGCATGTTTCCCTAAGGACCCAGCAGATTTAGATCAGCAGTTCCTCCATAACCCGCTGCTGCTGGTCCTCTTCTCTTCGCGCTCGTCCTGTGGCTGGGCTTGAGCTGCGGTGCGTGCCCTGCAGCAAACCACAGTCTGTCGCTCCATCGCCGGCACCCAGGAATTAGAGGTATGTATCCCCATCTCTGAGTGCTGGGAATGGGGCTGCACCCCCATCCCCCTCACTGCATCCCTCTCCCGTCTCATCCCACCCTGCCCCCCACACCTACCCATCCTAGCCCTGTACTCCTTACAGCACTCTCCCACCCATCCTCTCCACCACCCAGAGCTGCCACCCCTATGTTCCTCACCCCTGTAAGCCCTGCATCCCATTCACCTCCATACACTGCTGCACTCTCATATGTCCCTGTGCCCCCCACATCCTCATGCACCTGTAGCCTTCTGCCTCCCCCTGCAACCCCATCCATCCCACATACCCACCCGCACCCCTTCCTCTCTCCTTCACTGCCTCCTCTCACCCCACCCTGCTCTCGTCCTTCGCCTCTTTCCCTCCCCATCCTCTCTCCTCACCTCCTCCCCCCATCTTTTCCCCTCCGGCCCACCCTCCTCCCTTCCTGGCTGGGTGTCTCTGTAGGCAAGTGTGTGCATGCATGCACTGTATGTGTGTAAGAGACTGTGTGTGTGTCTTTGTGTAGGGAAGTGCATGTGTTGCCGCATGTGTGTGTACCTGTGTGAATAAAATTTTCAGCCTAACTCTCTGATGTTTATTCCTTTTGCTGGCTTGCGCACAAAAAAATGGATGACATAAAATGTGTGTATTCATTCCATAACAAGTTTTTAAAAGAGAGGGGAACTCTAAAAGAAATGTATTATTTCTTAAAAAGTGAATGTTGTTACAGAAGAGCCAATATATCATACATTTCTCCCTAGCTTTGTCTAGCTACCTTATAAACTCTTTGTTGCAGACTCTGTTTTTATGTGTATGTCCAGCACCTACCACCCTGGAGCTCTGATCTTAATTGGGGTCTCTAGGCACTAAACAACCATTGTAATAATAAATAATGTGAAAGTATGTGTGTTCGTGCATGCTAGATGTGTACACATGAATACATGTGTGTACCAGCATGTAGATGTGGGAGTCAGTTTCTACAGATTTATTTATATAGGTATCTGGACAGGTGTGCATTTCTGTGGTTGTGCTCTATGGATTTGTATTTGGGCTTCAGGAGTGGGCCTTTAATGGACCCATTGCAGTTGTGATAATGTGTGGTCCTAATTTCCACATATAAAATAGTAATAACTTTAATGAACAAAAACCATGGAGCTGGCTACGAAAAATGGGAAGAGGGGAGGAAAAGAATCATGAAAAACTTTGTGAAATTTCTTTTTTAAAAAAATACCCTTTTTGACTACTTTGCTGCCTACACCCATACCATCCTCTCCTCCCTCTTCAAAGAGGGTATTCATGCCAAGGAAAAGGAGAGATGATGATACACTCCCTTTGTCCTGGACAGCTGCTTGGCTCCTATGCTTTTCTGATTCTTAAACCAGTGTCGTATCTGAGTGGTTCCAGGAGACCATGAAATGACTTGACTAACATCTGTCTCATGTACTTCATTCTTTCTCTCATCCTCTCTCCCGGGGGAGAATTGTGCGTGCAGTGTGTTTTTTTTATTCCTTTGGGAGCCACTGTCCATTTCGACAAATTGGAGTAGCTCTGGGTTTGCTCTAACTTGCACTGGGGGCTGGTTTGCCCCCAAACCCTTCAGGATCGGGGAGTGGGAGGTTGTGGAGCAATGATGTAAAACCATGTCCCCTCTGCAGGTTACCAACCGCAGCTCTAGGCACACCTGGGGGTCTAGCCCACTATGTTTTGAATAACAGTGCTACTGGCATAGTTTTAACAAACATGGAAATCTACTTTTAGCTTTTCTGGTGGTTGAATATCAGCAGACTCATATGATCTTTCAATGGTAGCAGATCAACATTGGAAGTGAGACTATTGCCAAAAGAGGCAGAGCTGTTGTCCTGCCTGACAAGGACCTCTTCCGGAGAGACTGCCTGTGCTCCAAAGCTACTGCCTGCAAAGGAGAGGGTGACATAGGGACGGAGGCTTTGCGTCAACAAAGCCCTGAAGCATGTCAAAGGGACCTAAGCACATGTTTAATTGCTCTGCTGAATTGTGGATGGAATCACTGAGAAGCCACTTTTGTGACAAAGATGCTTAGCTCTTCACAGGACTCCATAGGGACAGAAGAAGCAATGACTTGTATGTGTTTTTAGTGAGAGGGTAGGATCTGGGGAAGAGCTGTGTTGTACATAATGGCATATTACCAGCGACTACAACAACTTAATGTCAGTCTCTTTATACTGAGCCGTAAAGCCCTTCTGGTTCCCAAGAACAGGTGTACGAAGAGAAGCTGCTCCAATGTGCCTTAGACCACACACTGCTAACAAGAATCTTCTATTGAATTTCCTCACTGGATTTCTTATTGTCTGAGTCTGGCACTTTTCCAATGGTCTCTAAGATAGAACTAGTTAGATCTCATTATAACTCAGATGCGATAAAAATCACCCTGGGATTTTTCAGGGGACTGCTTCTAATGGGATGACAGTATCCCTGTTTACAAAGTAAAGGTCACATGGAATTTTACCAAGCAATCTAAACTTACCTTGTTGTAGCATTGCAGAAGCCAGAGATTATGACAGCTGTCCTGCTGCTCGCTCAGGGGCAAAACTCTCTCCCATGTGTGCTTTGGAGCTCGCTGACCCCACTAGAATCTATGCCATTGAAGTTCTCAGATCCTGGCTCAAAACTTTGTGCAGTGCAAATAGACTGGTTCCGCTGCAGTCAGGACTCAGCTCCACAGCTGCTTCTAGCAGAGCACAGCTCTGAGGAGGTCCCTGTGCCTCAGCTGAGAGAAGGGCTTGGAGGGCTGGGATGGACGGAAGGAGGGGGCAGAGGTGGTAGATCCACAACTACAGGGGAGGAGGGCTACTGCAGCTGTAGCCTTAGGGTGCAAGTAGAATTCTTTCCTGGCCTCTGCACAACTCCCTAGTGCCCAGCTTGGTTACTTGGGTTGTGTGCTGAGAGGAGGATTGGCCCTTGGATGGGCTGTCGAGACAGTAGCTGTAATATTTTCACTTTTCTTTGTTTTTCTTCTTTGTATCATAGGTGCATTTTTCTTCCAATTATAAAGAAAGCGTGCTCCCAAGAAACCCGTATGAGTGAGGCCCCGCTCTGCAATGGAATCCTGGCCTACCCTGGCCTGGGTTCTGCTACTTAGCCTGATCGCTGACTGTCTGAAAGCAGTTCAACCTAGAGACTTCACAGTGAAAGATATTATCTACCTTCATCCTTCAAGTAAGATTCATTTCACTTGCTTAAAATAGGATGTCACTGTGCCAAGGCTTAAAGAAAAAACCCTGAATTCAGACAGCAGAAACATCGGGTAGTTTGAGCTCAGGAATATGTAGCTTTTTGTAATGTTAGCCTCTGCACTAAAGAAAGTAAGTTATTAAAATAGAAAGGAAGTATGTTTTATATGTGCGTACATACAATATACTTTGTGTCAGAAGAATATTTCTTGGTCAGTTTACATGACAACAAACGATTAAAAGCCAAACTACCTGTGCTATTGAAATGATATAATAAAGCTGACCAGACAGGTATCTTCAGGGATCTTCTAGGTCACCTCGCTCAATGTATACTTAAGGCTTGATCCTTCTGGAGTTCAGATGAAAGCTCTGCGATAGCAGCACTGAACAACTGGTAGGATGGCTGAATCTGATACTTTGTTACTGAGAGTCTAATAAAGTGAAGTAAGCTACCGGGATTGGCATTACAGACTAATGGGATGGCAAAAACACTTTTGGCTAGTACGTGTCATGAGGCACTGAGCAGTTGGCCTTGGGATACTGTTTCCCAGTAAACTTAGGACACATTTTTCTAGCAGCATCTGATCATCATGGCTGTCTCTGCTCTCTGTTTCCTCTAAGTGCAGCTCTTCAGCACACTCAAGTAACTCACTACTTTTGGTAGTGAAAATGGCTGGTACACACATCATTGGCATTCACTGCTCATGTTGTGGTCCCACTCTGTCGGGCTCTGACACACCCATTTTATCGCCTGCTCACCATGTCTCCATTCAGTATGGCAGTGGAGGTTTGCTTAAATTGCTGAACATCTCTTGGTATTATAACGAGTACTATGTGGAAGCCTCCCTACCTCAGTGTGGAGTAAATGTGAGTGCCAGGTGCTAGTTCTTGGTTCTCTAGATTTATTTCAGTAGTGCTCAATAGGCTGCAAGGTCTGGGCCATAAGTACCCAGGATTTGGCAAAGGGGATTAATGGGGGCACTTGTTTATAATGTGAAGCTATCCTCAATGCTTACTGAGTATCTCATTCCCCAGTCTAGCATTGCACCTATGTTTCAATTCTACAGACTGTTAGGACAATTATTTTCTTTTACTAATGTGTGTAAATGGCAGACAGCTGAGGTAAGCGTAGTTCACTTTTATAGGCAACTTTTGTCCTTTGTGATAGACTCGTGGAAATAAAAACACAACTTACAGCGCTCAGGAAAGGTGCCACATTGATAGCCCTGGAGATTGAAGTCGACTGTTGATCACAGAACAGGTGCACCCCAAGCAACAGCAGTAGACGCCTGTTAATGTGGCCCTGCCTATACAGCTCAACCTTGTGAAGGCTCCGTCCTTCATCAAGGCCTGGGCTAAAACCTATTAAGTCAATGGAAAGACTCAGTGAGTTTGGATTAGGTCCTCAGTCTTTGATTTCTCTACGAAGAGCTCTCTGCCAACAATAGTTATTTATTTTTATTTTTTAATTTTTGGTAGCGTGACCACCTGTCCCTAGGAAATGGTTTAAGATCACTAATTTCCTTCACAGGGGCCAGGGAACAGCTGTCGGATGGCAATGACTTTGTTACCATTGACCAAGCCACACTGAAAGCATTCAGCTAGAGCTGAAAGGATGTTATCCCTGCAATTCCTCAGCCACTAAGTTGTTAATTTTCTGAGCCTCTGGTTTTTTTGATTGATTAAATGAGGTGAAGCTCATAGAGCTTGAGATTTTGTGAACTTCTTTCATGGGTTCTGGCTCTAGTGTGAGGTTGCAGTCCTTATGCCCATATAATTTAAATCCATTTGCCCCAAGGATGAGTCATTAAAAATAATGAGCCAGATCCTCAGGTGGTGTCAATGGGCATAGAGTCAGTGAAGTCAGTGGAGCTGTGCCAATTTACACCAGCTAAAGGTCTGTTCCAATATCTGTTGAGCTAAAGGGAAGCCTATGTATTAGGAGCTAGAGGTGACTGAAAATCCCAACCATTTTCAGGTTTCTTTTAATCAAAAGTTAAATTTTGAACAAAAACTATTATTGACAATTTAAAAAAAAAATTCAACCAGCTCTGTTTAGGGGCAGAAGGGAGCTAGACTGGCACTAGAGGCTGCCCAATTTAGGACTCAGTTATGCAGATCTTACTTATTGTGGTTAGCAATTATTTAATCACTGTGATTATTCATTTAAGTGCTCACCGACATGAGCAAAGGTTGCACAACCACGTCCTTAAGGCATTTCATTTCGATAGCAATATAAGATGCTGCATGTATTTTTCATTAGTTTCTCAGTCTCATTGTATTTTTTTTCATTCTTTTTGCTCTGTGTTCCTTTTTCACCCAACTTTCCCCCCCTCACCCGCACTAATGGAATCTGATGATGATCAACTTTGTGAGTCAAACTTTTGAACCCACACTTGTTCTAGTGGGTTTGAAATTAGGCAAAATGTGTTTGCGCATCCCTAACAAACATCTTTGTTGGAGAAATTTAGCCTTTTTTTTTTTTAGTGTATGTTGAACAAAGACTAAATCTCCACAGTAGTCTTCCAAAGAAAGCTGGTACAAAGTGAACCACTGCTGACCAAGGGAGTTAATGGATGGATAAAGTTACAGGCAGTTACGGGGCACCGTGAGGTTGGTTTTTTCTTTAGAATCGTCCTTTCCTGAGGGACTGAGGCCTTATGTCCCGAAACACAGTCTATGGAGCTTATTAACTTCTGTGATCAAGAGCCAAATGAGATTCACTCACAGCTGTGGCAACAACTGTTTGAAACTTTATTTTACTCCAGTAGTGCTTTGAAGATAAAGAAAATACCATGCAGCTCAGGAACTTCCACAGTCTCTCCTTTTTGCTCACCTGTTTTATCAGATATAGTATTAGTTAATGGTCTACTACAAGAAGCAGTGTTCACACACATGCGTCTAGCCACACATCTCTGTTGTCTAGAAGCTATTTCCAGAGAACCCTTCCTGCCTTTTGATATCCAGAGGAGCCATTTACTTTTTAAAATAAACCCCCCAATCCCTGGACACTTGTGAGATGAATATATTTTGGGATGCTGGCCTGAAGACAGCCATAAAGAAGAGTTTGGAGTACTTTTGTGCTCTCATTTGGGTTGCTTGCCAAAACTGAATTAATAATCATTTCATAGGCAGATTTGTATTTTGCATATAGAGGAGAAAATCTATATTTTGTGACAGTCTCTGCTAATACAAATTGGCCTATGTTTTAATTTCAGAAGATTACATCTGGTCAGGTGCCATGTAATGCTTTGTGTCCAACAAAATCAAAGTTTAACACAGCATTTACCTAGACCTTTGCAAATAGGTGAGCTGCAGATTGTCTTAAACCTGCTCCCGGCCAATGGGAGCGCAGAGCCAGTGCTCGGGGTAGGGGCAGCGTGCGGAGCCCTTTGGCCCCCCCACCTAGAAGCCAGACCTGCTGCTGGCCACTTCCAGGGCACAACACGGTGTCAGAACAGGTAGAGACTAGCCTGCCTTAGCTGGGCAGCACCACCGATGGGACTTTTATTGGCCTGGTCGGCGGTGCTGACCAGAGCCGCCGCAACCTAGTGCCTTGCATTCCCCAGTTTGAAAACCACTGCCTTAAATCATATAAGCTCTTTGGGCTTTGGGACAGTCCAGCCTTCAGAGATGCATACCAACTCCATATAGGTTGGTATTCAAAGTACATTTGAGATCCAGGGACTGGCCACGGATTGTTGATTCAAGGGCCCCAAACACCTCTGTATAGGGTGTGCAGTGGTTACTACTCTAGTCTTTGGACTGGAACAGTGACTATAGAGGTGTTGTACTGAATCTTGCATTGGATGCTTGAAATGAGATGGAGTGAAATTAATTTATACTATCCCCATTTTATTGCCCTACATAATGCCTTGGCTTTGTGCCAATTGTACATTTCACCTATTGTTCTTTGGTTAGTTTCTGGGCATTGTACTGAGAGATGGCAGCATCTGGAAAAATCCATTTACTTGGATTCATTTAGGATATATTGCAGAGGTCTTGCCAAGAGAGCACTTTAAAACTTTGTTTCACATTTGGCGAAATAACTTGTACTCTAGCAGATTACTGATAGCTGGAGGTTCAGCAAATTGATGTTTTCTCCATTTGGGAGATCAGTCGGCATTCAAAAGTGTGACTGTATTTCCTCTGTGAGACCGATTTCAGAAGTATTTAGTCCAGCTGACGTTTTGTTAATAGTGATGTTGGAGTAACAGTATTGAATAGTGCTGTGAAATAATATTTGCTACAGAGAATGAGCAAATGCAATTACGGGGCTGGATCCCATACCTCTTATTCAGATGAAACTCCCCTGGAGGTCAGCTGTGGGCAATTTTCCTGAGTATGACTGTTTTACTGGGCCCTTGTACTTGTTCTTCCAGAATTTTAAAATCCAGAACAATTTATGATGGGGCTGAGGCACACATATCTAGCAGCAAATACATTTTTAAAAAAGAGTATTACCATGGTGCCTTTAAAAAGCATGGTACAGACTGGCTAAATGATCATCAGTTGAAATGAATTTTGTTTACATTTTTCAGCCACACCATATCCTGGTGGATTTAAATGTTTCACCTGTGAAAAGGCGGCAGACAATTATGAATGCAACCGATGGGCTCCAGATATCTATTGTCCAAAAGGTAAATTAGCTCCATGCTATCTGTTTAGATTAAATCTATGTTAAGGAAATGCCTAAGTATTCCCATTTAAGTGATAACATGCACAGGTATCCAACACCCGCCGTTACTGGAGGTTTATAAGAACAGGTTGGACAAACACCTGCCCGGGATGATCTATATATACTTAATCCTGCCTCAGCACAGGGTGATGGACTACCTGACCTCTCGAGGTCCCTTCCAGCCCTACATTTCAATGATCCTATGCTTTTCATTATTCTCCAAAAGTATTTGAATTCAGGTGATGGCTATTCATACCCGTAAGCCTCAATTATTGTAAGTAAGGTTGGTGGATGATACAAATGATGCATCCAACGCTCACACTTCCCTTTGCAGTAGATGGCTTTAGAGCTTTAATCGATCCCCATGTTCTCCCACAGCTGAAACAGAAATTAAGTGTCAGTGGGACGTAGGCTCCCAAGTATGTAAGTCACTTTTAGAAATGGGACTGTGATGAGGTGTTCACCCCACACCAGCCCTGAAGGGGTTATGGTGGTGCAGATGGGGCCAATTAAGCTTATAGGCCACACCTGGTGGAGAGTTTGGCATGATTGGAAATGACTACTGGCTAATAAAGCCCAGCTAGGGGAGAAGATGGATAAGGTATGAAACCAGGAAGTTCCCAGCAGAAAGGGGCTACAGTGTGGAAGCTGTCAGTCACTCTCTGGGGTTGGGAGGAAGGGGAGGAGGAAACCAAGGCTATGTCTACACTACGGACCTTACAGCGGCACAGCTGTACCAGTGCATCTGCGCTTCTGTAAGGTCTCCTGTGTAACCACTTTATGCCGGCGGGAGAGAGTTCTCCTGCCGGCATAATTAAACCACCCCGAGCAAGTGGTGGTAGGTATGTTGGCAGGAGAGCGTCTCCCACCGACAGCGCTGTCCACATGGGTGCTTTTGGTGGTGAAACTTATGTCGGTGAGGGGCGTGTTTTTCTTCAAATCCCTGACCAATAAAAGTTTTGTCAACAAAAGTGGTAGAGTAGACAAAGCCCTAGGGAGAGAGAGAGAAGCCCTGGGATCCTTGCCTACATCTAGAAAGGTGGAGAGAGCCTGTGGGAGGTGGGATAGTAAGCAACCCAAGGAAGAGCAGCAAGGTTAGAGATTGTGCAGACCGTGGCTGGAACTCGAAGTAGTGGGTGGGCCTGGGTGCCAGGGGAAGTGGCACAGGACCTGGCCTTGGACCAGAAGACTCTCTGGAATGGCATGAAATGTAACAGAATCCTGTTTGGAGAGTGTGGAAAATATTTATTAATTTGCAAATGAGGCTTCTGTATTCTGCTGCGTTCCCTTAGAACACCAGGGAGCAACACTAAAAAAACCCACAAGAACATTGGGAGGGAAAGTTTTGTTTCATACAAGGAAAAAGAACCAGTCTTGATTTGTTTGGGGGGGGGCGGGGTTATCATCCACCAGATAGTATATAATGAGAGAGTACTGTGCATAATTCTACTCAAAATGGCAAAACTCCCATAGAAAATCAACTAACATAAATTTGAATCAAACTAAAGCAGCTCAGATCTGGAGACCAGTTTTGGTCAGGTAGTAGAAATGATTTCTAGTTAGAGATAGTTGTGAGAATCTTTGAATCAAAGGTATACTCCACCTTTTGGAAAACTATTTATTTTTTAAAAATCTTGCCTCATTTCTGATTGTTCCCATTGGCCTGACATTGAGCACAGCGCAGAACTACAGATCTGCATACCTCTGAAATTTTGAAGTCTTTGAAATCCTGACAGGGATCCAAATTCTGTGGGTGCCCTTTTCTGCTTTTTATCTTCTCTTCATTCATTTTCTCTTCCGTGCTCTGAATGTCTCTCCTAATTCTCTCAATTAATTGCTTCCTGCTTTCATCTTTCATTTCTTGCCCACGCTGACATCCTTTATATAACATCACTTTCACACTCCATTTGTCTCTCATTGTTGCTCTTCCTCATTTTGTCTTGTGTTTGTGTGTTGGGAGAAATCCTTCTAGCCTTGGTGGGGCCATGTAGTCCCATAGTTAGCCTGCCTAGCATGGGGAGCAGAGAGTGGGCTATGAAGAGATACCAGGGGACTGTGTACTACCTGTGTACTACAGGCAATGCTTCATGGTTAAGGCTACGTTTTCATCATGGGTATTTTTAGTAAAAGTCATGGACAGGTCACGGGCAATAAACAAAAATTCACAGCCTGTGACCTGTCCATGACATCTACTATATACCTCTGACTAAAACTTGGGGACAGGAGGGGCGGCTTGGAGGGTACTAGGGGGTATGGCCTGGGGGTGTGTGGCAGGTGCTGGGGGAGGAGGGGCGCCACAGCCTGAGGGGTGCGGCAGGTGCTCGGGTGGGGGGTTGGCGGGGCTGGGGCAGATTTCCTGCCCGGCTCCTGGGAAGCAGCGACCTCCAGCTCCTAGCTCCATGTGCTGCCTCCATTCTGCTCTCCCCCAAACCCCGGTTCTGCAGCTCCCATTGGCTGGGAACTGTGGCCAGTGGGAGCTGTGGGGGTGGTGCCTGTGGGCGGAGCTAGGAGCTGAGGGAGGGGAGTTCCTGTAGCCCTTCTGGAGAGGTCCCCCCCCCAGGTAAACACCGCCCCGCAGCCCAATCCCCAGCCCTAAGCTCCCGCCCACCCAAACTCCTGCTGCTGGGGGTGGGCCCAAGACTGCCCCAGCAGCAGCTGGTGGGACTGGCCCAGGGGCTGCCCGAGGTGCTCAGGTGGCTCCCGGGCCAGCTGCCTGGGTCGCTGCAGAAATCACGGAGGTCATGGAAAGTCACGGAATCCGTGACTTCCATGACCTCTGTGACAAGCACAGAGCCTTATTCATGGTGTCTCTCTCCCCAGTGCTATTGAGAGAGGGACAGGCAGGGCCAGGTGATCAACACTACACAGATCCACTGGCCAAGCATATCCTTCCCATATATAGGGGAAGCCCAAGGGTATAAACTGTCATAGTCCAGCCACAGCAAAACAGGTGTGTGAGTATCCTCCACTTTGCTGCTAGATACCCGCACTGGTGTACGTCTTCCTCTAAAACCGGTACAAGTCCCCTTGACTAAGTCCATTTTCTTGAGCCATTCATAGGGGATCCAGATTTGGCCCTGACAGTTACTCATGAAACTGTTCAAAATAAAGGAGCTGCAGAGAGAAGTTTACAATGGTCAAGAAATATTGCTGACTGACCTTTTGCAACTGAATCTACAGAACTGAAGATGTAAGCAGCTGACGTTTTTGGAAAGCAGCCTTCATCTAGCCAGTTCTTTTCAATCGGCACTTAATATATATTTAATAATGTCCTTTAGCTTTCTCATCCAGCATCTTTCTGAATTATGTACCTAGATTTGGTGGTGATTGGCCCATTGCAAATGCCTTCCGTAGTCAGTGCTTTTCATGCATCTCCGAAACCAAAAGACAATAGTCCCAATAGCAAAGACCAGCCATCCTGTGTCCCTAGACTAAACCAAAGAGATGCAGGAAATCCTTCTGAATTTAATTTGTTTTTTTAAGAGTTTAAATTAATGTAACTTCAATAACAATGAAAGATCAGAACAGCTTGTGTCAAATGATGGCAATAGTAGCAGTTCCCACCCTGTTTTGGCAGGAATACACATTATTTTAAATAATTGACAATGATGATAGTGGCTAAAAACAATCTGCAGACTAGTCTATCAGACACAAAAGAATGACTGCAAGGCTTGCTTTCAATAAAAATGTTTCCCAGCTTCAAAGAATCACTGGTTCAGACATTAAAGGGAAGCCAATAGCTAGGCAATGCCAATTGCTTTCTTTTTGGAAATCATGTTTCCAGTGACTCTCTTTATTTCGTTAATCAGGCTCATGCAGACCAGCTTTTGATGGTATGTCTGTGAACTGCTGTTGCCACTCTACCTTGTATTAAAGCTTGTTTGTTTTATCTGCTTTTAAAAATGCTTGGTTTCTCTTACATTTCACCACAGCAGGATCACTACGTATTTACAGAATATGGGATTTTGGAGCCCGGAATCGACCAGGTGGAAATTCAAATCCATCTTTTTATCTTTAGAACAAAGAAGCCCAAATCTTCGTAGAATGGAGTTATCAGATAGCATTTTGCTCACATAGCATGGAGCATTTAGTCCTAAAGCTATCAAGGTACATTGGGAACAGTGTACTTTGTAGCTGGACTTCAGCCTGAACCAAGCTCAGATTCACTATATGCTCTACTTTTTTTTATCTTCAGAGGCTGAGACAATGTCCTTGTGTGCCACCTCCCTATAGTGGCATTCTTTGGAATGAATGGAAAATAATAACCTAGACAGCACGGTGTTACTTTGGTGTTGGGCAGCAATGCATGCAACACACTCCATTTTACAGCTCTGGCTCTTTAAAGTGTTCCTGTCCTGCAGGTGATTTCCACTGCATTCTTGTAAGAAACAGCTCTCCTTTTCTGCAGAACAAGTAGAAAATTTAAAGGGCCAAGGCCAGAGTTGCTCTTTCTTTGGAAGAAGGAAGGAGTAGTTTCCATGAGCAGAAATGATAAGTATAACGTGCACTGGCATTTTTTATTTATGACCATGGATTTTGGAACAGATGCAAAGGAAAGTCTGAGAGATGGAACAAAGCAGAACAATTCACAGCTGACAAATAAAAAACAAGTGTAGCTTGTCTTGTTTTAGAGTAGCAGCCGTGTTAGTCTGTATTCGCAAAAAGAAAAGGAGTACTTGTGGCACCTTAGAGACTAACCAGTTTATTTGAGCATAAGCTTTCGTGAGCTACAGCTCACTTCACCTTGGTTTTCTCTCCCCCCCCACCCCACTCTCCTGCTGGTAATAGCTCATCTTAAGTGATCACTCTCCTTACAATGTGTATGATAAACACCCATTTTTTTCATGGTCTGTGTGTATATAAATCTCCTCACTGTATTTTCCACTTTATGCACCCGATGAAGTGAGCTGTAGCTCACGAAAGCTTATGCTCAAATAAATTGGTTAGTCTCTAAGGTGCCAC